GCGCACGTGTTCGCGCAATCCCGGCCATCTTTATTTTAGAAGAAATTTTCTCCAAAGTCATATGGCAACACTGATCACCATCTGTTTACATTTCGTATGTATAACAGCTGCAGTTTACGATTACCATACGTTCCGTATCCGACAAGGCGGACAACCGGAAGAGTCAGAAGTAACCCGGACATGTCTTACATTTTATTATTGTCAGTTCGACTCGCGTAGTCAATATACTTGCGTATATTGTCGACTAAAATAGTAGAACTATTTTAGCTTTCTAAAGTACGGCGCACGGCGCATTTTTTTACCAACGTAGTACGGCGCACCGTGCAGGTCGTTAAAATGACAAAATAAATTCCTGCGCACCTGGCACATCTTCCTGACCATGGATCCTGTATTATGCATGTTTCAATTCAAGTTCAATTTAGCTAGTAAAATAGATATGTAAAAAATTTAGCTATTAGTAGTCCAAGTTACCCCATTTTACGGTACACATTTTAATTAAAATTTTTCATTTTTTTTTACATTTCTACATGTAGGTGATTTTTGAAAATTGCAAATGATAATCTAATTATTTCTTACTTAACGCTGAAGAAATTCTGCTACCTAAGGGCGGCTAAGGCTAAACACTAAAGGAAGAAGTTATGAAGTTAAGCCTTATAGAAGTTTCTACAAAATACCATTGCACGTACAAAAAATTTTATAGAATTTGCCTGGCCAGGCCAAGCAATTGACCCAAAATGCCCAAAATTTTGAAATTTCGGACTCCGATTTTTCGAGTCCAGTTTTGAAACGGGTCAACACTTGTCATGTCTGAGCCACGTTTTGACGACCCCAAAAATTTTTGGGAATCCATTTTACCTGCACTAGTGTCAATTGTCAAAGCAGAGAGTTTCTTAGATTCTCCCTCTGTCCCTCAAGTTCATTTTTTAGTCCTATAACTTTAAGGTCTTAAATTCTTAAGGAAGTAGTAAAATTGGCCTGATTCATGGGCATTTTTTTACAATTCATGTTGTTGTTTGGACTTTGGCCCAATTTTCCACTCAAGCCTCAAGCCTACATGATAAAATGGTATGACACTGTTTGACACAGCATGCTCATTAATTTAATAATTTACATACCCTGCCATACCCTACCCAAATCCCAATAGGTACCCACTACCCAGCACTGCAGTATGGGGCCTATCATCCTATGGGCTGCATAATCATGATAATGGGCAGTAGGCCTACCCTACCCAACATAGTAAAGCTGTCAAAAAAAGTCTAATTAAATAGGGTGTTCAATTTCTCCCATCTCATCCAATTAGTGCCTAGTCACTCAGTAGTCAGCTTGAAAATTCAGTGAAATAGCAGTCAAGAAACATTTATGGATTACACCAGAAAACTTCAAAATCCCTAAAACACATCGTTAAGTTCAATGCTCAATTGCTCATCTCAAGTCTTAACTTAACCCATGGCCATGGGCCATGAGTGATGATCATTGGTCAAGTCTTTATTTAACAAATCATAAAACTCACCACAGACATCGTAACAATGGCCTGAAATTGGTACAAAATCAAGAATAAAATTCGAACTATTTAAATAAGTTATTGGCGTAACAACGAATAATCAACCTTCCATCATGCGTTTCAACAGCAGAAAAATTGAGATGCAACTTTGCGAGTGAAGCTGAGAAAATACTACTAGACAGTAGGCACTATCGAACGTAGGCTGACTGTACTTTATGGCGTACTAGTCTATTAATGAAGGCGAAACGTTGCAACCCAGGATTTCAATTGTGTTAAACAAAGTATATATAGTTTGTTTTTTGCAACTTGACATAGAAAACTAGTGACGATTTGAATTTAAAACATTCAATATTAATTTACGCTATTTATTAATCTAATCTATTAATTTATTGCAAAGAATTTATATACTTCTTATTAAAATTATTCATTAATTGTAGTAAATAGAATATTTACACTTTGCATAGAATATTTAAATAGTTTTTAAGTTGTTCATAGTGTGAACATGGGACTGATTTATTTCTTAAATACATGCTGGGTGCATATCGCGAATTTTACATATAGAATAGAACTAATATTTCCTACTTATATTCCAAATAACATTAGCCTGAATTTATTTTAGGAGAAAATTCCCTTGGGAAGTTGTACATTCTATTTTCTCGAGCGATATTGTAGTTTTCTTATACCAGCTCAACATAACTGCGCTCGAGTTTACTGTCAAATTTTAATCCAAGCAGCGCATTAATATAAGGCCAAGTAATCTGTCGCCGGATTATGAATGGCTTATTGAACTGCCCAGAAGATAATTTCAATAATAAAATATGGAATTGGTGCGCGCTGACATCCGGTCACGACCTTTAAATCGGTCATTCACGATGCATAAAAGCTCTCTCACCAGCGTCAAAAAAAAATAATAAAAAATAAATAAAAAATTCAAGTCACACTCGTTAGTTAACAAAAAAGTCAATTGGCAAGTATTCACAACAATCCTAAAAAGACTATAACATTCCCTTGTGCATGTCAGCATCCTAAAATAAAAACAGAAAAATGTACTAAGAACGTTCGGCACAGTCACCTCTAGGCTCCCACCCTCCTCTCTCTCAACCCTCAACTCCTCAAGACCCCACTCTTATCATCTTCCACCTCTTCTTCAACCTTCACACGTTCTCCAAATATATCTTCACACTCGCATTTATAGCTACAGTTGCTCCCTCAGACTGACCCACAAGGTGCAGGGTGGCCCAGTGGTTACAGTTCAGAGTACCAGGATTGGAGCAGAGAGGCGCGGGTTCGATCCCAGCTCCGTGCGCCAGTTTCTGGTCAGAATCGGCAAGGAGGCCGGGCAGTTAAGCAAAAGCAAAAATTGAAGCAGCGAGTTGCGAGTTCGAGACTCGCACCAAGCTGTGGATGTTCTGCGATGTTAAGAATCGGCGACAGGCCTACGGCCTAATAAACGCTGAAACTGTGACGTCGTTCGTCACTCGTCAGATTAAACGCACTAAGTTTTCTTATCCTCATCTATTCTTTCTTCAAATCTTCACTCATCCCTGCGTTCACTCCACAAGTGCGTGGAAAATATCGCAAAGATCAACGAAATTACCACCACGTGAACGCAGCCACCCCTCAAACGGTTCTCGCGTTCCTAGCAGCGTCACTGCCTCAACAGTGGGCGTCTAGAGCTCAAGCGAGTAGTGTGTTGCTCCACGAGCCCTCCCAGTGTTACCCTTAATATATATTGCTATAGCTCATTAGGCTTATATTTCTCTATCGCTCGCTAATGTGTATGATTCTAGAATTGGAAATGCCATGTTCATGTCATTGAGTGAATATTATAGTCGTTGCGTTACTCATAGCCGCCGACATTGTTGGCGGCCATTATAACGAACATTTGCTAATGGGCTCCTACATCATAGTTGATATGTATTTTCTAGTATGAATTCGTCTAGGAGTAATTATTAAAAAGGAATTATCTGTCGCATAACTGGATGTACTGATTTGATATTTTCTAGGCCATTTGCCTCACCTTTATTGTTGTGACTATATAAATGTTACTTGTGTAGCAAAGACGCCGTTCCGTTTTCTTCGACACAATCTCATAAAGAAAATTTTTGCGGGAAACTACTTTGTTCCCGGCGTCGTCTACACGGTAATGACGGCATCCCTGCAGACTTGTGATTCATTACATCTCTTTTAAGATGAAGTATTTTAGGTAATTTTAAGATATTGTCCTCTAAAGTTTATCTCTAATCTCATCATTTCAGGTACCGTAATCGTAGGTCAAGCCCAACCGCAGTCGTTGGCACTAATCGTAAACAAGCCCAACCCCGCGTTGGCGCTATTAACGGAATCGAATCCCAACCTAGCTATAACTGTAATTGAAGCCCAACTCACAGTTGGCAAATTTAAGCATAAGAAATTAAACGTCAACATTAGGTATACCTGGCATAACTCGTTGAAGCTCAGAAATCTTAAACGTAATTATCGTCAACTTTGTCGTCTCTTCCTCTCGCCTGCCAAAACCACCTCGTGTGAGTAACAAATGAAATATCGCGGCCATGCCGACATAAACAATTCCTGTCATGTCAGTTGTAATTTTGTTATCGAGAAGTCAAATAAGAACGTTCATCTATCCTATAACGTTCAGTACTAAACAATATCTAAAGTCTAAACAATGTGAGT